AATTGGGGTGATGTGGGAATGGGTAGAACGTAATCGAAGTGACTTAATTAACCGAATCAAACTATACACTGGGAGTATTTCAATTCGAATCTCTTTCTGGTTGCACGATCAAAGGGCGAATAACGTGGTATTGACGAAAGGGAGGACAGAGGAAAATGCGGGATAACTAAGGAAAAAATAATGGATCGAATGCGTTTTGGTTTGACCATGTGAAAAATTCTTTTGAAAATGATCATAGGATTCTATACGATCGGAATGGCGACAAAAGTAATTGAAATGAAACTGATAGATCGGCAGAATTTATTCGAGCGTTTTAATATTCTGCGTGGACCATTGGTGACCCACCAAATTTATCGATTCGATTTTGGAAATCAAGCAATCGTTAGCCGTAAATTCGTTAATTCATAATTTTCCAATTCCATTAACGCAAAGGGAAAGATTAATCGCCTCGAATAATATAATCCGTTCATAAACATTTATATTCCTTTAAGCTTATCAAGCATTTAGATCCGATAAGGTTTTTAACGAACAAGTTGATTTATAATTATCCAATTCCATTAGGGAAAAGAAAAGATTAATTTCGCTAAGTAATTTATACCATTTAGCGATATTAATGTTCCTTCCAAAACTTACCAAGTGTCCAGATACTTGTGAACGATAGTGTACGACCCAAATTCAACCCCATCTCTTTCCCTTCCGTCTACCTTCCACCCCATCGCGCCACGACCTACCCTTACTTTCCCAAGTCCGACGGCACGCTGGTCGAATTATCATCGGGCCTGCCGATCTCTCAAAGCCTTTCCAAAATTACAAACTCACAGGCCTGTGAGCTTGAAATTAGTTTCCAGGAAAGCCTTTCATTATTAGCAACGTACATTTCTCCTTTCCCGTAGGACAACTGTCCTTTCATTCGAATCGAATGATTTCAATCATTCACTTGTACGTGACAACCCTTATTCCGCTGTTCGGTTGAGAGGGAAAAAATATCGTTGTCAAAAACTGAGGGAGGATAACGAGGTCGGTGCTCTTTCTACCGAAAAAGTGGCTGAAGCTGGAGCTTTCGTTTTTAGCAAGTCGTTCCTTTTACCGAGTAAATGGTGTAATTCCGTTTCGAACTGATGCTCTCTAATTCGTTTTTTTACGCGCTACCGCTTCCCTTTTTCCTTTTTCACGTTATTATTGTATAATCGTTTTATTTTTCTTTTTAAAGAATCAATTGCTTTAGAACCTAAAGAACCCGTTCTTTATTACAAGCTACAAATCTAGATTTGGCCACGTCGACACCATGAACAGGGTGTGTGAAACCAGCAACAACTGTCGCACTAAAATCGACATTTTTACTAGATCTACTTCCACTCTAACAAGAGACATTCCCAAATCGACACACGCCGATTTTGATGCTTTTTGAGTATGATATAGAACTCAAAAAAATATTTGACACGTATTTTTTTTATCGGCAATCATCCATGCTGAAGGGGTGAAAAAATGACAGAAATAGATTATTTTTCAATATATTTAAAAAAAAAATAAATTTATCAAAAAGGTGGCTACATAGAAAAATTTGCTGTTCAAAAACACACAAATTCCATTTTGAATTTTTCGCCTACACCTAATAGTTCCTGAGATATTCAAGAAAATATGCTTTGCAACCCCAACTTTGAGGGCTATTTTCACCCCTTCAGCATGGACGATTGCCGTTAAAAAAAAATACGTGTCAAATATTTTTTTGAGTCAAAGGTACCTTCATATTCTGTACTTATGTTTGCCTAATGTAATGTTTTCTGCAATAATGCAGTATGTACACTGGTTGTACCTTGTACCTTATATGCGCGAAGGTTGTTGTATGAATATTATTATTATTATTTTGTTAAAATTTGTATGAAAGGGTTTATTCCCGTTAAGTAAATAAATAAATCAAAATTGCTACACGAAATAAGGGTGTTAGTGGGTGACAAACCCAGTAGTACGAGTCAAGCTGGAGGGAGACATTCGTAACAAGTCGCGTTGACCGGGTTAAAGAGATGCCACTTAAAGAATCGTCTGCTCGACAAGCCAATTCGATTTAACTGGCCGTTATAGAAAGTACGATACTGGTACAGTCGATGGTTTCTATTTCGAGCGATATTCGGTCGGGTATTAAAGGCGCCTACCCTCCGCCCTATGTCAACTGGGTCATCGAGCTTCGTATTAAAAGAAGCTACTGGGCCACCTATGAATATTCCGTTTATTTATTTACTTAGATTCACGTGATATCTCTTCTTCTATACAATATTCCCCAGATTCTACCGCATCAAATATTTCTTTTCAAATCTATAAGTAGAACAAATCGTTGTTTTCAGTTCAGGGCCAGAAATATCTCCGAATCTTACAGCACCCCTTGAAAACGTAACCAGTCACGATCGAAGTTATCTGGTATCAACATCTCCCAGACGTAGCCGTAAATTATTAGGCCGGTAAGATAGCGTTCGAGCGAAATAAGAAAAAGTAGGGGGAAAAAAAAACCGAAAGGTCGCTTTACATGCGATTTATAGGTCCGAACGAAGGAGGTAGATTTAACGACGCCTCGACGCGAAGGAACGGCGCCAGACCAGCGGGTCTATCGATTCGATTCGATTGCCGAAAAATGGTAATGCGGTCGTGCAGAACGGCGAGCGAACTTGGTATCGAAGAAAGGACGTCTCAATTTCGTTGCTATGCCCTATAGGAATGCGGAACCAGGCTACTCCATCAGAGAGCAGACAGAATTTCCTTCGGGCTACGAAAGAACTTCCGTGCGCTCCTTGAAATTTTCACGGTCTAAAGAATAAAGAAATCTTTCGCGTTAGAATCTGTATTCGCGATGTTAGAACAATCGCTTAATTTTCTATGCAAACGAGGGCTAGTCACGCGTCGATGTTACGTTTTACGATCACGAGGGCTAACGGATACATCACCGACAGAAATCCGTGATTCATTGTAGCTGCGTTAAGCCTATTCGCATAATCAGAGAGCGACGTATCGCCTGCGCCATTAATTACGAGAACGTGTAACGCACATTCATCAAGTTGAACGGCTCCGCAGAGCTGTGGGCAGATTGGGACGAGGAGATAGAAAATTGGCAAATGCTCGTGTCGACGACCCCGGGAACGAAAGAAATAAAGGCACGAGTTCGTTTTTAAGATAACGACGAAGAAGATTAGGAAAATGAAAAGCTTCGAAGAAAACAGGCAAAGTGCCGAAGGAGTTTCTCATTCGGTCTCACCTCGCGGAGAAGAATTAATTTTCGTGCCAGGCTAACTTCTGGATGCCGAGTTAATCCAAGTTAGCGAGATATCCTCGGCTGGCGGAAACTTCTCCGAAGGAATTTCAAATTCGCAATATCACAACGGGCTCTCGAAGATCGCTGTCGAAATAAATGGATTCGTGAATTATACGTGCGTCAAATTTCAAGATTTAAACCGCCCATTCAACTTCTGCGGCAGGCGGTAGTCGCGACGGGTTTACACGTTCTCAAGAGAACAACGCTTCCATTCCGATACAAGATAAACGAACGTCTGCTTAATATGCTCTGGAAGAACGTAGAGAAACCGAGCCCATTGAATAATCACTTTGAAAGACCTTCTTCCTCTATTCTTCTTCGTCTACGCGGCACGAGGAACAAAAGACTGGAGTATCATAAGAATAGACGGCCGCGTCGAAAGATGGTGAAAGAAACGGTGAAAGTTCGCTAACCTTTCCTCTATCCTTCTTCCACCTTATCTACGGGAACGACATTCTCGTCTAGCCATTTTTCTATTGTCTTTTCGAAAGTTGAAATTTCGACGAATTTCTGTACGCCAGTTTGCCAAATATTTCATCGGAGAATGTATACGAGGTGTTAAAAACAGTCGTACGTTTAACGCTTGGAATGCTCATATTTCTCCAAGTTAAATTGGCCATATTTTTATTTAAAAAACAAAGGATATATTTCGTGGCTGTAACGAAATAAAATCGCATTTAACGACGCTGAACGAATAAACAAACCACGCTTGGTACGGTCTGAAATATAATAGACCGGAGCATTAAACTAGATAGCCAGTAGTTAATATCAATAATCTGGCGGACCGCGCGGCGTTACAGCCACTGATGTTTCTACTGCGACCCCAGTCGTCAATGACCAACGTTACGAGTTTGAACAATATAAAAGAATTACACCAGTGATTCGAAACATCGAAAAACCTCAAAATTGAATTGAATAATTAACGAGTAATGTGTTTAAAAATATACAGTCTCGCGTGGCGCACCGAACGTTGATGTTTCCACTGCGTCCCCAAAGACCAACGCTATTAATCGAAATAAAAAATAGAATCAACTGATTTCAATAGTAACAAATTAATCTGTCTCCTATACGATCTGTGCGATCTGATCATACACGTCTATGTTTCTACCGAATCAGTGAAAGCAGAGGCTACGACATTGGCGAAGGTTAGTAAGGGTTTCCGCGGGGAAATCGCGGCTCCGCAGCAGGAGACTTTGACGACTGCTGCAGCTCGTGTGCACACGGTATGTTGAAAAGCCACGAACCTCGACGACTTTGCGGCTCGGGAAAAGCAAGCTGCGTTCGAGATCGATGAGGAAGAGAAAGAGAGAGAGTGTGTGTGTGAGAGAGAGAGAGAGAGAAGGAGAGAGCCGCAGAGCGGCCTAACCCTTGCGTTTTATCGAGCCGTGGCACACGTACCTCTCGCGACGAACAGCCACGAAAAAGAGAGAGCTAGAAAATACACGGACGTGACGCGATCGACGAGGAACGACAACATACGCCTGAACTTAGCCGCGCATCCCTGTGACGCGACCTCGAGCTCTTTCGATAACTCTCTCGCGGGTTTCTATTATGTATATTCAAAATACCTATGCAACCCTAATCATCCCCCGGCGTTTGCATCGCAAACCAGAACGAGGAAGAGACATCGACGATGTTGTTTACCCGACCAGACGACGCATACGCTGAATCTTTCAAATTGATATCGTAAAAATTAACTCACCTTGGCTCGCTGATAACTTTGGTGTCGAATAACGAAGTGCAGATAGAACCGAAGTGCTGGCTCGAAAAACAGTGTACGAGGACTACCGGCGAGGACGACGACGACGACGTCCGTACGAGTCTCACGTTTAGACTACGTGGGTCTGCCCGGTCGTCGGTGGCGGTGACGCTAGCGACGGTGGTGGTGGTAGTTGTGGGTGGCGGTGGTGGTGGCGACGGTGTCGGTGGTGGTGGTAGTTGCTTTCTGCCCTTCGAGAGGGAAAAAGAAGGAAGGATAGACAGAGAAAGACGGGAAAAGACCGATGGAGATCGAAGTCTCGTGGCAAACGGTCGTAGACTGAGTGAACCCGAGTTCCGACTGAGCGGCCGAGTCGTCGCGACGCCGACGCTGGCGCCGCTCGACGGAGGGTGAACGAATCACCATCGATCCATCGAAAATGGTATGGGGTAAGCTTGGGAACAGAGCGGAAAGAGGGGATCGGGGCGAAGGGCTGGCAGCACCCGACGAAGAGGGTGCACGACCAACGGAACCCTACCGTCGAGGCTTGCGGAGGAAAAGGGAGAGGGAGAGCGACGAGTCGAGTTGGGAAGAGGGCGGGGCGTACGCGTACCACACGTTCCTATCTCTGTGTCTATACTCCTATCTTTCCTCTTCCTATTTCACTTCTCTTTCTCCCTTATTTACCATTCCATCCACCCCCTTCTGCCTCACACAAACGTTCCTCTACCCTTTAGCGTTGTTCTTTCTTCGTTTTTCGCTTTTCTCGGTACTATTTTGATTACCTTTTTCTTTTTTTTTTTCAATGTCCTTCGTTCCTTTCGGTATGCATTGATTTAACCTTCTTTTCGTTCTTCGTTTCCCATACCTTCGATACCGATTTGAAAAAAAAAGAAACACCAGTAACTATCGACGGAATCTTCGTGTTGAACAGGTGAAAACTTTCTTCGCAAACGAAAGTACGAAAAGAGAGAGTATGTACATTATATATAGGTCGTAGTATGATGAGAATTTAGACGATGTTGTGCGTTTCACTTTGCCACAGCGAAGATGAGGAACTTCGTTGTTATCACAAACGTTTTAGCTTTAAAGCCGCTGCCTCGTAGCGAAACCTGCCGCGTAAATATAGAGCCAACACGTTTCTCTTATACCTCATTCGTATACACTTTACGTATACGAATATAGGTGTTTAATGAATCGATAAAAGAAGCGGGTAGCCGTGTTTCCATTCATCTCGTTCGATATCCAACGTATAAAGGGATGTTTTGTTCGCTGGTAGCTGGCGCGATCGAAATCACGGGCTACGATGTGACAATAAAAGACGTTCACGTACGTACACATCGCCTTGGGATCCATTAAGTAAACGCAACTTCTCTGGGTGCTGTCGTACACATGTACGTGTACATGCAAGACGTTTTTAGTCGAGAACCGTCCGTGGAAAAATGCAAATCTGGGTCAACGTTATTCTGAATTGGAAGCTGACAGAGAAATGAAAACGCGGACAAAAGTTAGCGCGATATTTCTTTTTTTTTCCCTTTTCCTCTGGTACTTTTTTTTCGAGTTCGTCTTTAAAGCCTAGCTGACATTTATATCGTAAGCAAGAGGGAAGAGTGAGAGGGAGAGGAAAAAAGATCTACCTGGAATATCGTTATACCCGCGGGCAAAATAAATGTCCGCATCCCTCAACTTTTACCTCATTTCGCTTTATTTCGTGAAAATCTCTCGGTATTTAGAATAAAGCGAAATGGAAACACGCCGGGCTTAAATAAATGCCATTTTCTGAATAATATTTGCTCTAAATGTTTCGTTAAGTTAAGCAAAGAGGGAAATAAACGGTCGAATATCCTGGAAGGAATGAAATAGTGAGGGAATTTCTAAAAATAGACAATCATCGTTTCTGCTTTTATCAACTTGATAAAACGAACACCTAGAGTGATTACACGAATTTGTAATATCGTGGTATTATCGTTGAAATTTTATGACACTCCGGTGTTGGTACCTGCTTAAAACGGAAACGTATCGGATATGCGGAGTTAATGGTGCGACATGGCTCGACTTTATCTCTAGTTGTCATATAAATCGCGAATATTTCCACGACAAATCGATCGTTTTTATACCAGACGCGAATCCCTCGATAAATATAATAACTGATGAATTTCGAGTGCTATTTATGGGAATTTCGCGACATTTCTGCGAGCTACTTTTCCAAACGTAGAAAACTCGAGTTACAGATGGTCGAGTAAATGATTTATCTCGCGAAAGGAACGGGGAATGGAAAAGATCGGGGATTTCGCTGGAGGGCGAGTCTGTCGAATCGAAGATTAAACGTCGTAGGTGAAAACGTAAACAGGTGGATAGACAAACGCGTCAGATGCATCTTGGAATGGGAGAAATCTTCCACGCAAAAGCATGAAACGAGGACCGTGGCGCGACAGGAAAGCCGGAAATTACGTAATTTCCTTACATTCTGAGAGAAGTTAAATGCTTTATACGAGACACGCTGCCGCGTCGGAATATCGAATTCCTAATCGAATCAATAATTACGAGATACCGCGCCAAGGAAGGAACTGAAAACCCTTCCCCGTCGTGCACCACCGCTGCGCGACCGTACAACGTTTTCCTTTCTTCCCTTTCGCCCCGTGGAAAAAGAAAATCATTCGCGTACTGGAACACGAAAAGGAATCGCAAAAAAGATCACATTCATCTACGAGAAATAGATTCGTTGCTGTTCGATCAAATTTATTGGACTTCCTGCGGAATGTTTGCTGGTTGAAAATCAAATCTGCGATAGTGGACAGTTTGAAAAATCGTTGAAGAAGATAAGGAAATAAAAAAATTCTATTAAATTTTCTAGATTAATCGGTGTGCTCTGTAGCCGGTACGTTCATTCGTAACCGACTAAACGATTTATTAAAGCAATAGTCTAGCCGCGAGATGGTAGAAATGCAAGGAAATAATCCGAGAAAGATAATCGTGTTTTCTCACTTTTCGGCATGCTTATCACGGTCCACATAATTCCGAGACTTATAGCGGTGCGTTATACCACTAACATGGATTTGCACTTCGCCAGTCCCAGGACGTGATTTCCAGCAGCATCTCCTGGAACCAAAGTCTGCCGGGCATCCGGGAAACATTGGGAATCCATACGCGCATACATATGCTGCTCGCACATTTGTTCGTATACTTTTCTGTTTTAAATCGTCATCGTGAAATCGCTTGCAATTCGCCCGTGCATTAACGATATCCCCTTTAAACATAGTTCAAAGTAATATATTGATCCACACGGCGTGTTCAATCCGCTTTCAGAGATTAAAGGAAAGGTTCGCGTAACAATGAAGCTAACGTTGTGCATTTTTTTTTTTTTTTTTTTTTCGTTTCAGGTAAACTCTTGTTTTCGAGCGATCATGATCTTTCTATGGCCAGGACGATAAACTCTTGGTGACACAGTCGTCGAGTAAGAGATTTCACACCTGCTGCCATGGGAGACACGTGTGGACACACGTCTCGAGGTTCTTACGAAGGTGTGCAAACGGACGTAAGTAAATTGTAAACACCCTTTGACTATCAAGTGTAAGGAACGAAATTCAACTCAACGTCCAAATCCAACTCCCTAACACGTGCATTGATATGTGTATATATGTGTGTGGGGAAGATGTTAGACGAAGGTGCTCGTCAACCTGGAAAATTACACGGCTTCCGCGCGCATTTAATTCATTAACAATTTCCTGGTAACGTTGTTTCACATTTTGACTAACGAGCACGTAGAATATCCCAGCGCCATCGTTGCTGCTAATGAAACGACGTTGGAAAAATATCAGATTCGTTAAAATTTCGAGTAGGAAGCAATCGAAAACGAAATCTTTAATTCTCCAGGTCTGTGTCCTAATTGCTGGAAAACTAATTAAAAGGTAAAAACTTAGACTGCAGGTTAAAATTTTTCGAGAGAAAATTAGGGACGCTGATAAAAGACGATAAGATCGAGGGTGCACCATGAAATTTCGAAATTTCTTACTCTTGGTACAAGTTCACGTAAGACGTAGAAATAATTTCAACGACTGGAAGTTGAAGTTTTTCGAAAGAAATTTAGGAACATCGATGAAAGAGGCGAAGATAAAGGGCGAAGGAAATATGAAAGTTGGCCGAAAGGGAAAAACGTGAGCGTGCAGGTGATCTGACCTAATACACTTCCCCTGATGAAAAATAGCTGCGAATGAAAAGCAATAACCGCATTCTTGGTGGCGCTTGGTTTAATAAAAGACGGGTTAGGGGTTGCGCCGAAAGGCATCGATCGAGAATATTAGATTTCATCGCGTTCACGTTTACGCAGGCTATCGCGAGGGCATTAACGTTCGTTGGCAGTGGCACGGTGTGCGTGGCTGGCTTAATTAAACTTTAATTACTTTAATGCATCTGTGATCGCATTTCTGAACTAGGAACTGCGATCGTACAGCTTGGAAATGAACTTGTTGATCGTGGTCTCCCACGAACTGTGCGAACTTATTCTCTACTTGGGAAATTTCTCGTTTAATTTAATCTTTGACGGGGATGGAATTCGTTTCTTAAAAAGTATCAGTTTGTAGATTTTTTTCTTTTCCTCGACAACTATGCTGCCGATGAATATTCGTTTCGAGCAAAAGAAAAATTTAATTCGCTCTTCGTTTACTTAGCAATCTTTTAATTAACGTCTCGGTATCGAAGAATTCGATTTGAAAAATTAATTTGAAATAGTTGGAGCGCTATTAGGCGACCTCCGTCAGAAGAATGGATAACTGAAGAGAATAGAGTGGATAACAGAGAAATCTACGATATCGATTTAATTAAATTCGAATAGCGTTTCATGCACCGTTGTAATTTTAACCAATTAACGTCCAGGTACGTAATATTACGTTGACATGATTTTAAATAGGGATCTTAAGCGGCTAATGAATTTGAAAAATTCCACGTTATGGCTGTTGCGTCAGTAGTTTTGATTTATACTTCCACGCGTCCTTTATACTACAAATGGAATATTACCGTCTCGAGAAACTGAGGAATGAAAATTAAGAAAGAAAAGGGAAATTGACGCATTCTTGTTGCATTGTTCTTCTTCTATGCGACTCTGTTTTGCATCTTTGCGGAACTTCCTTCGTTTCAATAATAAATGCGACAGGAAAGATGTTGTAGTCCCGTGAATCAAGGATGCAAAATAAAGAAATAGATGGGAGATAAAATATGATAGTAATTGCCTTCGGTGTTCTTTCAATGATATTCGTCCGTTCGCATTGAAAGTAGAAAGATTTTTAACTAGAAAACTATTCGCTTAACGCGTACGAGTTCCTTTCAATCGTTAAATCAACGCTAAAAGAACAAG